GGTTTATTTTAGTAAAACTAATCTAATTTAGTTAGACCAGTCACTTTTCCTTAAGTTATTTTAGTCAGACTAATTTAAGTTAGTCAGACCAGTCTTTTTTCCTAGGTTGCACCTATTTTAGGATTCCTATTTTTTCCTGGGTTAACTTGTTTCTTGTCCTTCACAGGTAAGGAAATACCCTCAAACACAACTAGATCAAAGTGGACCACAATTATTCAAATCACATTCATAGACATAACATATGAAAACAAAGTATAGCACTTTAAAATCCATGTTCAAGTCCAAATGTAAGTTCAGGTTCTAGATTCAATGGAAAGCTTCTGTTTGATTCAGTCCGGTGAACAAATAATAATAATGGTAGCTCAATCAGTTCTTTAATCCTGTTCAGTTCGATTTGAACTCGTTCCTGAAATTCCTATCTCTCAGGTAGCGAATTACCACACGCAGGGGAGTCCCTCCCTGTTACGATGGAGAAGATGAATTGAAGGTCTGGGTCTGGCTCGCCATCTTGAATCCCGTCTGTGAATGTGCAAAGTTGCACACGGCAGACCGATCTCCGCTCCAACCGAACTTCCAACCGATCAAAAAAACCTGACCTGTGTAACAGGCCACAACACAACAAAACTCCTTTTAAATCCTCAACAATTAAATTCTTCTTCATAAATTCAATATATCAACTGGATAGCAGTTTACACATTAACCTAATGACAATTTATGACGGAGCATTTCTTTGCTAACAGCTACGTTCTTAGCGTTAGCTTCCCGCCAAAAGGAAAAATACAACACTGTGAAAATGTAATAAAATAAACACAAAACTCACCAAAACCGATGTAACTTAATTCTCATAAAATCCCTGTCAGTGTCCGACCAGGTAAATTAGGTCTTCTTGACTATAATATTAACTTTTTCTCCGTTAATTAATCAACCGCTCTTTTCCTCCGATTCCTCCTCTGCTCTCTCCCCCTGGTTTTTTGCACTGCAGCGTCACCCTGGCTATGACACTGGTTTCTTAAAGGGGCAGCGACATCATTTTCTATTCACATACTTTTAATCCGCTATTCATTCCTATTTATATCAGATTTTAACGTGGGTTACACAATATTAGCATTTTGTAATGAGCTTGAATGAGTTGACACTTACCCTAAAAAGTAACAGCTTCCATGCCAAGAACTGAGGTATAAAAGTTAATTGTATCTGGGACACTTTTCACCGTCAGCACCACACGATGGAGATGGCTCATTTCAACTGGACTGCCTGTACTTCCACAACGAACCAGCACCTCTCAGTGGTGAAGCTGCATATTTTAACCAATGTCAATGATTTTACAGGAAATACAGTGGGGTAAATCAATTATTATTATTTTTTTTTAATTTAGAGATACGTTACATTTTGGGAAACAATACATTTTGCGTAAAACTGGGTTACTTGTAGAAGATCTGGTCTATTTGTTGTCCAGATGACTTTGTTAAATTCAATTTTAGTTTCTCAAAACGTAGAGTATTTCCCCATATGCCTTCATCAACTCATAAAAAATAACTGGACTTTAACATTTTGCATTACCGTAATAAAAAAAGTAAGTTTCTGTCTGCTCCCTCTTCAGGGGTTGCCACAGCGAGTGAACTCATGAAAGACTTGGCAGTTGTATTGTGCCAGATGCCCTTCCTGACACAACTTGGACTTGAACCCACAACCTCAGACATAAAGTCCACAGCACTGACCAAGCTACCGCAGCCCCTCAGTACCAAAATTAATCATCTCAATCTAAGTTTTGAGTATCCTATTGTTAAAAGGTAATTTCAAACTATGAAACATAAAAAGTTTATACTCTTGCAAATGAGTCCTCGAGGCTCAATGAGACTAACCTGTATAAATAAAGGTTTAGTGAAAAACACTGAACTATATCAAATGAATGGTGCAGTTTCAAAGTGTTTACTTCAGTAGTTTTCCAGAATTTTTTGGTATGCAATTCTGAAATTGACACCAAATTTAAACAATCTCTTCCATCAATGTTTTCCTCTGTCTTACAGAGTAATGCATCAGAGAACAGAGACTTAGATCATCTAGTTGATCATCTTACAACTTCAATGCAAACTTCACTTGATAAAATTGCTCCACTGAAAAAGAAAGTAATCAATCAGAGGAAACTGGCTCCTTGGTTCAATTCTGAGTTACGTACTTTAAAGCAGGCATCTAGAAACCAGGAGAGAAAATGGCGCTCTACTAATGTTGAAGAATTGTATTTAACTTGGAAAGATAGTCTGCTAACATATAAAAAAGCTCTCCGTAAAGCTAGAACTTTATATTACTCATCTTTAATAGAGGAGAATAAAAATAACCCTAGGTTTCTGTTTAGTACTATTGTTAGATTAATTAAAAGTCCCATTTCTGTTGAACCATGTATCCCTACAACTATAAGTAGTGATGACTTCATGAAATTCTTTATAAATAAAATTATTTCAATTAGAAAGAAAATTCAAACCATCCTTCTTTCTACTATCTCTAGTCCCCTGTCAAATGAGGCAACTTTAAAAATTTCACTAGAGCCTGATTTATGTTTGGACAGTTTTTGTCCAGTTGAGCTCTCTGAATTGTCAAAAATAATAACCTCATCCAAACCATCCACATGCCTGCTAGATCCCATCCCAACCAGACTGTTTAAAGAGGTATTTCCCCTAATTAATGTGCACATTTTGGATGTACTTAATTTGTCTTTAATGGATGGTTATGTACCACAGTGCTTTAAGGTTGCTGTAATTAAACCTTTACTTAAAAAGTCTGACCTTGATTCAGAAATTCTGGCCAACTATAGACCTATATCTAATCTAACTTTCATCTAAAAAATTCTAGAGAAAATTGTTGCAGGTCAGATGCGTGAACATCGACAAAGAAATAATCTGTTTGAAGAGTTTCAGTCAGGGTTGAGAGCTTATCATAGCACAGAAACAGCACTAAAAGTCACTAATGATATTCTCATGGCCTCAGACAATGGACTTGTGTCATACTGGTCCTGTTAGACCTCAGTGCTGCATTTGATACAGTTGATCACAATCTTTTACTACAGAGGCTTGAATATGATATTGGGATTACAGGAACAGCTCTAAAATGGTTTTAATCATATCTATCTGATAGATTCCAGTTTGTAAATGTAAATAATAAATCTTCTTCATAGACCAAAGTTAGTAATGGAGTTCCTCAGGGCTCAGTGCTTGGGCAAATACTCTTTACTTTATATATGCTTCCATTAGATAAAGTTATTAAATAGAATGGGATAAATTTTCATTGTTATGCTGATGTCACACAATTATATTTGTCCATTAAACCCAATGAATCCAATCAGCTACTTAGACTACAAGCATGTCTTAAAGACATAAAAACCTGGATGACCCTTAATTTTCCTCCTGTTGAACACAGACAAGACTGAGGTTTTGGTTTTTGGACCTGAGCACCTTAGGAATTAATTTTTCAGTCTTTCTCCCTCCTTAGATGGCATTAATCTGTCCTCCAGCTCTAATGTTAAAAATCTTGGTGTTATTTTTGATCAGGACATGTCTTTTATCCCCCACATTAAAAACGTTACTAGAACCTCCTTCTTCCACCTGCGTAATATCAATAAAATTAGAAACATCTTATCTAAAAATGATGCAGAAAAACTGGTCCATGCATTTGTCACGTCTAGACTGGACTATTGCAATGGTTTATTATCTGGATGTCCAAATACTTCGTTAAATGTCTTGGGTTGATCCAAAATGCTGCGGCCAGAGTCTTAACTGGAGTTAGTAGGAGAGATCATATCTCTCCAGTTTTAGTTTCTCTCCATTGACTCCCTGTCAAATCCAGAATAGAATTCAAAATCTTACTTCTAACCTGCAAAGCTCAAAATCTTACTTCTAACCTGCAAAGCTCTCAACAACCTGGTTCCATCTTATATTACAGATCTTACTGTTCCATATTTTACTAACAGAGCACTTCGCTCTCAGGCTGCAGGTTTACTTGTGGTTCCTAGTTTCCAAAGGCAGAATGGGAGGCAGATCTTTCAGTTATCAGGCTTCTCTACTGTGGAACCAACTTCCAATCTCTGTCCGTGAGGCTGACACATTGTCCAGTTGTAAAACTAGGCTTAAGACTTTCCTTTTTGCTAAATCCTTTTAAAAGGGAGTTTTTCTTTCCACTGTTGCCACTGTGCTTGCTCAGGATGGGAGACTGTGAAGAAGTGAAGAGTCAACTTGTCTGCTGCTTCCTTAGAGAACTTTAATAAACTGAATTGAAATAGAGGTATAAACTCAATGTAAATGAAGCACTGCATCTGCTGAAAACCAAGAGGAAGTTTGAGTCATATGATTGGCCTACATTAGGGTAACTATAGATTAACAAATATGACCAAATTGGACAAGCGTAGAAACTTGGCAAATAATGTGTAAATATAAAAGTGAATCTTCTGCTAAATGCAAAATAAATTAAGGGTAAGACAACTGTCAGGAATAAAGATTGAGACTCAAACAGGGTGGTTAAGCTCCAGAAGACTGAGCCCAGCTTCAAATACGTGTGGCTTTTGTGAAACCTCAGCTAAGACCTGTAAGTTTACATTTTCACACAGTGTACTCAACAAGTCTGAGCATAAATACGTACCAGTGCAGCAAAATGTCAAATCCAAAATGATTCTTGCATGAATGTGGCCACTGCTGACCTGTTTCCCAACACTTTGACTGTTTCTGTAGGTAAATACCTGTACAGCCGCTCATAAGTTTTGCTAAGACATTTTTAATCTAGGAGCACATCGCCCATCATTAAGGACACATTACCCCCCAAAATAGTGTTGACTTTCATCTTTTCATTGTTTTAAGAAATTCAAGTTTTCAAAATGTCAGTTTCATTAAAAAAAAAAAACTTTATTTTATAAAATTTGATGTGAGAAAAAAATGAATTTAACCACAAGGATTTGTTAACGGATGGTATTAAGTGTTTGTCCTTGTTAAACCACTTGGCGCTTCAAAGTCTCACCCTATTTGTTCAGAATTTATTTTCCCTATAAGAAACATTTTAAAGTTTCCTAGAGTCATTGTCATCATCTCACTTCCCATCTCCTCCTTGTTGTGTCGGCCATCTGACAGAAATATGATAGGGCTTCAGCTCCTCCTCGGAGAGCGTGTCAGGGGCGTGGCTCATGAGGTCGTGACCACGTAACGACTTGGGGAAGGCGATGACGTCACGAATGCTGGGAGCTCCGACCATAATGGAGACGAGCCGATCCAAACCTAGAGGAGCACCGAGGAGTAACAACTTGAAAAATGTGCAGTTTTCATGCAACACTTAACAGTTCATCTGTGAACACAAGTTTTAAATGACCTCAACTAAAAGCTACGGGTGGAAGCTGTATATGGAAATTAGCTCATCAAGAACATTTAAAAGCTCGTAGGACTCAATAAATGATTAAACACAGCTGGAGGATAGTTTGAATGTGCAAACAGTCTGTAGGAAAAGAATGTTTCAGTCAAAACCTTTTACTAAACTGGATTGTTGAGACTCTTGTGAATGAGTTTTTGTCGCAAAAAACGATAATTTCATCACAAATGATTTTTTTTTAAAATCTTTGTTGTTGTTTAGATTGATTGAAACTGTTTCAAACACTAAACAATGCTTTAAATCAGTTAAAGATATCCTTATCTTTTCACTGACATGGCACATGAGCACTGACATACTTTGAATCTAGTCGACCGTCAGAACAATAAAGGTGTAAATATTAGTTATAACAGTTAAGAGTTAAATTGACTATATTATGTGACAACTTGACTTAAATTAATACATTAAAATATAAATAACCACCCCTCCCTGCAGTAAGGAGCAGTTCACCTTACCCAGAGCAATGCCTCCATGAGGTGGTGCTCCTGAGTCCAGAGCCTCCAGAAGGTGGGACAGGAGACTGGACTCCTCCTGGGAAAAAATAAAACATTAACCATTTGTTGAAAATATCCTGATGCATGCTCAATAATCCAGGTAGAAATAAAAAAAAGTTAAATCTGGTCCTCTGGACCATTTTTTGAAAACTAAATAAGAACTAAAGCTCAATAACTTATCATCTGACAGAGGTTTGACTGTGACCCTTCACTAACTTTGAGGACATTCTTCAGGACGTGCAGCTGCTCTGAGGCCTTGTGGATCCGGATGGAGCCTCCTCCGATCTCACAGCCGTTCAACACCAGGTCATAGTGCTGCCCACGCACCTGTTAGATATCAGTTGCATACAAAGCTCAGACAACATTTTATTTGCCACAGGAACCTAAATTAGATGCTGATGTGAGCACCCTGTGAGGCTCTGTGAGGAGTAACTCCATGTCCTCAGGTCGTGGAGCTGTAAACGGATGATGTGCCGACTCCAGCTCCTCTGGATTCTCTTCTTTGGGTAAGAAGAGAGGGAAGTCCACGACCCACAGGAAGTGGAAGGCAGAGGGGTCGCGGAGCGGATGGCCACGAGTCTCGAGGAGCTGAGCAGACTGGAGACGAAGATTACCGAGCAGCGGGCGCTGAGAGCAGAGATAAAGACGACTTTAATATAAACGTTATCATCCTCTCCTGTGATCATCAATCATCTGAGTGTTCTGGTCTGTGTCTTTACCACAGTGTGGACTGGTCCAGCTGCTATGAGCAGCAGGTCTCCTGGTGTGGCTTCAGTCCTTCTCAGCAGGTTTTCAGTTTCAGAGACAGACAGCAGCTTCTTCAGGGGCGACTTCACCGTCCCGTCCTCTCTGACCAGCACCAGGCTCAGCTCCTTCACGTGTAAAACAAACACATAAACCTTTGTAGAAACTTTAGTTTCTTATTGACAGATTTGATTTTAATCCAATAAAATCTGCATAACAGTCATGATTATTTAAGAGTAAAAACAAAAGTGAAGCAACAAACCAACCTGTCCAAACTGAGTCTTGGCTGTTTGTTTCAGCTCGTCCAAATCTTTCCCAGTCAGAAGTTTCTTTCAACAAACAGAGAACATCGTTTGAGGCGGATATAAAGCACATTTTCTCTTCACGCCTACCGTTTTACTCTGCTGTACAGAACCATGAGCTTTATGAGAAATTCACTGTTTTGTTCTTACCGCCCCACTTGGGACGCAGACGGCCTGAACAGAACCTGCGGGCTGGCTCAGAGCTGATTTGAGGAATTCAATTTGTGTGGACAGGAAAACCTCACTGAGGTCCACCAACTGGAAAGACAAGAAGACGGACAGAATTGGGGAAACGTAAATAACGCGTTCTCCTTCAAACCAATTCTTTAGACACAGTCATCTTGTTTGGATGAACACAACTCGTAGTTTTTAAGGTTCTCCCTTTTTGCAAAGCTTAAAACGAGTAAAGACAGTAAGGCTAAGACACTCTTCCTTGTCAGGAGTTTTACCCCCAGAATAGAGAAACTGAGCGAGTCAGTAAAAATTTTAGATTTGTAGCTTTATAAACATCTGGAGGAGGTTCCTCCTCCTTGACACTGCATTGTAAAAGGCTTAAGATGCTCAGGTTTAATGTGATTGATTGAACATGTTAACAGTAAAAAAATAAAACCAGCTCTTAACGTTAGCCTCTAAAACAAAAAGAAACAAACGAACAGGATTTAATGAGCCTCTAGATGACGGAGGAACTTTGACACATTGGACTACAGCTGGTTGCTCAACTGTTTTTCTGTCTGCAGCAGATTAAAGAAGCCCAAGTGTGCCGTCCTTCAGGGAGCTGATGAGATTCTCTCTCTTTCCATAACTAAGAGTTTGGTCAGAAAATGTTTAGTGTAACCAACATATTTTTTGGTGTATAAGTCACTCCTGACTGTAAGAAAAGCATCATGAAGAGGAAAAACCATAAGTCGCTTTGGCGTATAAGTTGCATTTATTATGCACTTATCTAATGGTCAAACCAGCTTCATTTCACCTGGGCGACGCTGTGTTCGCTGTTGCAGTTCTTGGAAATTTAAAGCGTCAATCAAAAATTGCGTTATGAATATGGAAGAAAAAAGAAAAACATATATAAGTTGCAGGACTGACAAATCTATGCAAAAAAACTGTCACTTATACACCAGAAAATACGGTAATAGCCTTGTACATGTAATAAGCTAGGTCTGTATTTTAGACAACAAAATTTTTTAAATTAGTTTTTAAATAGTTTTTATACCATATGTGGTGCTATATATCAAATCTGCAGCAATATTTACACAGATAAACAGTAGATCTTACAGGCTTTCTTACAAGTTATTTAGACATTTCACTTCCTGTAAACGGTAAAATCAAATAACAACAGAGTAAAAATACAGAAGCAGCACAAAATAAGTACACCGAATTTCACTTGTGAAATGATGGCATGGTGCGGCGCTGTGTTCCCAAACACCGAAAGTGTTCAAAAAAGATTATTGTATTTTCTAGTTCAACTTTTTGACTGCATCCGACCTTGAAGGAGTCAAACTAATCTCAACAGAGACCTGTCACTGCAGACGGAGGGAGTGGAGAAGAGCGTCTTGTTCCTTAAAGCCATCACTATGAAAACAGCAGTAAATGTTAAAAATGGAGCTGCAGTATGTGGGCTCAAGGGTTTTTGAAACAAAAATGTGAGATATTTGACTAAGAACTCACAAACTTGTGTCAATTTGTGACAAAATAGGGATAAACAAGTCTCCTTTAACACAAACACATACTTTTAATAAGTTAGTTTTAACTGCAACTGTATTGATTTGGGTAAAGATCAAAACGTGTGGATTTGGGAATATTTTAGGGCAGAAGGCCACACAATTTATAATAAAATAACATTTAGGAAAAAAGGAGGGATTTTTCAAAGACATAAGATCCCACTTAGAACCTTTTTGATAAAATAGTAATTTGTTTTCAGAGGCACAAAACCCCCAGTCCTTCTCCTGTTTTGACCTTCAGACGTCCCCCACCTTCATGTTAAATCTGGTGTCAGGTTTGTCCACACCGTAGTCTCTCATGGCTTCGTTATACGTCAGAGTCTGGAAAGGAACCTGAAGGAGGCCTTTCTCTGCTGGCCAGGAGTGCTGCAACAAACCCTCCACCAGAGACATGACACCCGCCTGGTCCACGAAAGACATCTCTATGTCCACCTGGAAGAGACGCAGAGGGGAATTTGTCCATGCACTAAACAGCTATCAGGCAGTCTGCTGATCTTTTCAGGTAAAGCAGGTTCAAAAATAAGAGACAAACTATTAAAATTTCAGTTTGTGAGGAGAACAACTTGGTGTCGCGTCTGTAAATCAGACTTTGTGTTTTCATGTCTCTTCTCACCTGCGTGAACTCCGGCTGCCGGTCTGGTTTGGAGCCTTCATCTCTGTAGCACCGAGCCACCTGGAAGTACCTGAGGCGAAACACAAGGAGGTGACCATCACCTTTACAAGTCCTTAAACCTTATGAACAGCACGGTGTACCAACAACACTGGAGCAACAGGTGGGATTATTCACTACTCTGTGGAGCAGGGCTATTCAACTGGAGGCCCGGGGGCCTGAGCTCAGTTCGGCCCACTGATGGATTCATTTTTACATAAAACTACATTTTAAACCATAAAACAAACTTACTTCATGAGAATAACTGCTGGATGTCTGGCCCCTGACGTCTTGACTTTCAGTAACAGTGTAGATAAGTGTAGGTAAGCATCACTAAACTTTATGGAAAGCTTTCAACCATTCATGCTTTTGGTTAAATTTCTTATAAAGTGATTCATAAATAAAATTGTTTTAAAGCATCATTAACATTAATTTATTTGTTTTTGCCCGTATGATGAGCTTAAGGCCAACACAGTTTTGTAATTCTGTTCTCAGTCTTATTGTGCAAAAGTTACTCACATTAAGCTGTATCGACACAAACAAACAATACGCTGAAGCTTTTTGCAACGCTCAGGAGTTTATTTCGTTTTAAAAGCGGAGCGTTATACACTCTGAACACTCACCGGTCCACACCAGCCACCATCAGGAGCTGTTTAAACTGCTGCGGACTCTGAGGCAGAGAGTAAAACAGGCCCGCCTCTCTGGAGGGAACCACAAACTCTTTGGCCCCCTGAAATACACACAAGTGTACAGCTTGAAAAGTTCATTCAGGTGTCAAATATCATCCAGTTTTTATCTGTACAAGTGCTCCTATAAAACAGCCAAAGATGATCTAATTAGTTCTATGTTAAGGAAATCATATTAGAAACTTCAGGGAAAGTATCGTATTTTTCGCTGTATAAGTCGCACCTTTCTGCATAAATTTGTAAATCCTGCAACTTATACACCGATGTGGCTAATATGTTTTTTGTTCTCATATTTATATCCCAATTTTTGACTGAGATCTGACAAGTTCATTCATTCTGACATGGAAAATATTGAACACTACCATTTTCAGCCACTAGAAGGCCCTCGCCTAATATGGCAAGCCAAGTGCCTCATTAATTGGTAAAAGAGGCTATTAATGAGACACTTGGCTTGCCATACATTTGTCTCCTCTTGAACTCCTGGAGCAAACGCCAAATCAGCTGCATTTCTCTGCGCCACCCAGGAGAAATGCAGCTGATTTGACCATTAAAGTGCATTTATTAAGGAAATGTTAAAGTGAGACACACCTTTACTATAATACTATAATGTCGAGCAAACAAATAATTGTTTTTAAGTGTTAATCTTGTTAAATTCTTGTTAAAGTCCTCCCGTGTACGCTCCCGCGGAACAACACTGGCCCACATTTCTGGGTGGTCAGCAGTGATGCATAACAGATGCAATGTATACGGCGAAGCAACGTATTTATGTTTTTTTTCCACTTTATTAGACATATCTGAACTGATGCAACTTATTCAGTGGTGCGACATGTACGACAGAAAGTATGGTAAATTACTTTTTTTTTGTCTTTATGATGAGTCTTACCCCTGGTGTTCTTTTGAAAAGAGTAGGTGTTTCCACATCCACAAATCCTGCACAGCAGAAAAAACAAAAACACAATCAGGGTAAGTTTTATAGAAAGAAAGACTGGAATCTGCATCTTATTAAAAAAAAAAATTTTTTTAAAACAACTGAGCAAGCACAGAAAATAACCAGGACCAACTCTCATACCGTGCACATTACAGAGAAATTCTCTCATCTTCATCACCAGCTGAGACCTCATTCTGAGGTTGTTCTGCATCTGCGACGACCTCAGGTCCAGGTAGCGATATTGCATCCGCAGAAACTCCGACTTCTGTTCAGTCCAACGGTGACACGATCAACTGTGTCGTTCATAAACCAGACGTGCTCAGCAGTAAAAGATGTGTGTGAAATTAAACACTCACTTTGACAAATTCTTTAATCTCAAAAGGCAGCTTTTGGCACACGTTGAACACTTCTACATTCTCAGCCAGAACCTCTATGTCTCCTGTGGACATCCCCTGGTGTGAACAGAGCAGGATGAGAAGACGGAGCACTTTACTGAGATTGGAGGAGTTGCTTTGATGCCTCAAAGTTTTAGGATGAATCTGACAAACTGATAATGCCCCCAAAATATAAATATGCTGCCAAATTGACCAAACTCCCATTATGAAAACTCAAGACAATTCATTTTACAATCCGCTGATAATAAACACAAACCTTGTTCTCCTGCCCCGCTGGTCGTTTCCTGACTGTTCCTGTAACCTTGACAACCGACTCCACCGTCAGACCACTCAGCACCGCTTTCAAGCTGCTCGCAGACTAAAAAAAAAATCAGACAAACAACGTTAAATGCGTCATTTTATTTATAGCCACAATCGTCATTCATTTTTAACTCAGTAAGTATTTTAATTAACATCAAAAACTTTGTACTAATACATTTTATTGATGATAATGGCTTGTGGTCGCTTTTTCTTACTTCTTCTTGAGGAATTAAAACTTGAGTCAAACCACTAAAATCTCGCAGGATGACAAACAGGTCTTGTCTGTTGAAAAGAGAAACCACTGATTAATTCATGCGAGACGTCATAGGAGTCAAACTGCTAATAATGATAAACAAAATATTCACAAGCTGTTTAAGTGCACACCAAGACAGGACAAAAACACACCAGACAAAAGCAGAATGTGAAAATCAGAGGCAGAGTTTTATAACAATAAAGTGTCCAGAAATCACACTCATGTCATCCACAAATGTTATAAACAGCTCCCACACATTCATACCTGAGGTACTGGACCCAGCCACACAAAGTGACCTTCTCTCCATCATGATGTGGCCTCAGCTCCCCACAGGTGTGGCTCCTGAATGACAAACTGCTGGGTCCTGGCAATAAAACAGGACAAACAAATCACATTTCACCTCATAACTGTACAGCCATAAAAAGACTCAATACATCCAAGAATGTAAGTGTGTATGTTATCTTGCAATGGAAGCACAGCATAAACTTAGGCGCAGCCTTTAATCCTGCATGTTAACACATTTATATTCATTTTATTATTAAATACAAAACTACCTGAGGACACAGAGGTAGGTCTGTGCTGTCTGTCAGAGCAGCTCAGGTGTCTCAGCTGAGTTTTCCACAGGAGGCTTCCTTTACCTGAGGTTTGGTACCAAACACTGTGAGCTCTGAGCCCAGTCAGAACCCTCTGCAGCACAACTCTGCTTCTTGTGGCCATTTTAGCAGCACTCAAGGTGACTCAGGGCTGCCAGAATCCCATTAGGGTGTTGAAACAAACTATACGAAGCTCGTCTCACGCGGGGAAACGCAGCAGAACGGATTAATTAGACACGACAACATGTTACTAAACGCAAAGTGTCCAATTCTTTTCTCATCTGTACAAGCTTCCGCGTTTCGCTCATCCCGATTGGTCCGGGCGGATTTCACAGATCTCCTCTCATATGGATGGGTTATTCTGGTTGCGGTCAACCACGTCAACACTTTTCCGTTTACGTTAGAAATCAGTGTATCGTCAACGGATGTGATGTCACAAACAAAGGCGGAAGTAATACGATTCAAATCATTAACCTGATCATTAACCACATAAATAGAGACTAAAAAAAGTTTAGAGCTCTTTAAAAATAGCATTAAACCCGTTCAAAATCACAGGAAAGCGCAAATAACAACTAGGAAATCAGTCAATTAGGGTAAAATGTGTAAATACAAGGAGAGACTGCCAAAATACTCACTGTTCAGCGTGAAAAGTGGAGGTGTGTACATTTACTGCTGTAGTAGTTTGTGTGCTTGTACTTTTAAGGTACTTTAAAAATAATAAGCTGCTCGGCCTGCCTTTTTAGATAATTCTAGACCCAAAAAAAGTGAAAACCAGTTTGCCAAACTTACAGAGGAGGGCACTGATACGACATGACGCCTAAAAATTCCCAAGAAGAAGAAGAAGAGTTGTTGTTGTCCATGTGCGGACTTTTCCTCTGCAGACATGTCGGGCAGCAGGTTCATGAGAGCCATCAGAGTCCGGGAGTTTGGAGCTCCGTCAGTCCTCAGACTGTGTTCAGATGTTCCTGTCCCTCAACCTGGACTCACACAGGTGAGAGACCACAGGCTGCACGCGCTGCTGCTGAGAGGTCAAAGTTCACCCAGCCAAGCTTTAATGAAGCCTTTTGTCCTTCTGCTTGGAAGCACAGCTGTGACCTCACTCATGTTTGTCTTCTGCTGGTCTGATAAACATTTTAGCTTATAATAAGCTAAAACCAACTGAAGAAATTCTGAAAGGTGCTGCTCAAAATCCCAACATGACTTTTAAACAACACAGCACAACCACTGCTTCACTGAAGGTTCTTAATGATGTTGAAGCACTGGATGCTAAGGATTATGCTTTTGACACTGTGGATCATAACATCTTGTGTCATAAACTCTCAGAAATTGGTTTCTCAGATCACGCCTTTGGTTGGTTCTCTAACTATCTCTCAGATCGAAGGCAATGTGTTCAACATAATGGTACTTCCTCCAGTTATTTAACAGTCAACAATGGTGTACCACAAGGCTCAGTCTTAGGACCCACCCTCTTTACAATCTACATACATAATGTAGGTAAAAACATCCCTAATGCATCCATACATTTCTATGCTGACGACACAGTTGTTTATTGTCGAGCTAAAACAGTTGCTAAGGCTTTCCAGCTTTTGAATTCTTCATTCAACATCATCCAGACTGATTTGTTTCGCCTCAAACTTGTCCTAAATGCCGACAAAACCAAAGGGATGCTTTTTTCAAATAGGAAGTTGGTCCCAGCAGTTCTTCCTCCAATTTTATCCTCAAATGGTGTCCCCATTGTGTTTGTTGATTCCTATAAATATTTGGGTATCTTGGTCGACTCACATCTCTCTTTTAAGCTCCATGTGGAAAACTTGATAAAGAAACTGAAAGTTAAACTGGGTTTCTTTTTCAGAAACAGATCCTGTCTAACCCTGAATGCTAGAAAACGCCTTGTATCTGTGACTTTCCTTCCCTCCATTGATTATGGTGATATTATTTACATGAACGCTCCTACAAGAACCCTGCAGATGTTGGATGCTGTCTATCATGGTGCACTAAGATTCATAACTGGCTGTGATTATCGTACCCACCACTGCACCCTGTATTCACTGGTTAACTGGTCATCATTAACTTCACGCAGACTCTCTCACTGGTACATTTTCATCTTTAAATCACTTCTTGGTCTGCTGCCTTCATACATCTCCTCCTACATGTCTCTGCGTGAGTGCAGCTACAGCGTGCGCTCTCAGGACATTATTACCTGCAGTGTTCCCTCAGTGAGGACTGAACTAGACAAAAGGACCTTCTCCTACTCTGCTCCTGTTTCCAGGAATATCTTACAAAAAGGTTTGAAGCTCTCGACCTTGACCTCTCTAAGTGGCTTTAAGAATCTGTTGGACTCCTGGCAGGGACCAATGCAGACATGTTCCTGTTTTTAGTTTTCTACATTTGCCTTAGAATCTAGCTGGGTTTTTTTTGTTTGTTTGTTTGTTTTTTGTTACCTTTTCCTTTTCGCCATCCTATTTGTAAAAAAAAAACAAAAAAAACCTGCAGTATGACTTTTTATAACTGTTTATTGTTGTTACTGTTGTCCATTGTTGTCATTTTTCTTTGTTGAAATCAGGTCTCTCTTGTAAATGAGTCCTCGAGGCTCAATGGGATTTACCTGTCTAAATAAAGGTTGATTGATTGATTAATAATAATCTGATTTTAAAAATGACTACATTTTGATGTTCAAGAAGTGTAACAAGAGCCAAGAGCAAATTAAAGCTTTAAGCCGCTGCTAGTAGCTCTTGGTCACCATGGTAACCACACACCTGTGTCTGTCACTCCCTGTCTGCTTAGAAGGCAGACTGGAAAGTAAGTCTCAAACAGTCACTGTGTGAAAACTGCAAGTCAAATCTTAAAAGTTCTTCAACCGTGAGAAGACGTGACGCTGAAGGTCAAAGGTGAGAATTCACGTTTCTGTAGCTGAATGTAGAAATTACAAAAAAAAAAGAGACTCAAGAAATGATCAATTTCAGTTTCGACACATAATTTGAAATATTACGTTAAATAAGATGTTTAGTCTCTTTGTTACCAGCAGCCTATCACAGAATCACTATTTTGTTGTGTCTAAGGGAAAACAAAGTATAACACAGTTTTACTCATAAAATAGTGTTTTAGCTCCAACAAGGCGAGCTATTAGAAACATATGTCACGACTGTCACATACTGTTCATCTGCTGTAGGTAGTTTTTTTTGGATCTGAAACAACTTATCCTTCCTTTGTCCATTTTATTTTCTGTCATTAACACAATTTTCAAAATGAAGTTAAGTCGTGCAAAGAGTGGACAGAAAATAACTGAGAAATAAATAAAGTAAAAGGAAAAACCTGCAAAAAGTTTTGGAAACGAAGATGAAGAGCTCTTTAAAATCAATCTGTGGCTGATTGAGAACAAAGCATAAAGACATTAGTGGCAACTTTAAACACTTGCACAGTTCTGTCAGAAAATCTGTTGGAATCAGTTTTGTATCTGATTGATTTATTATTCAGACGGTACTCCTACAAACTCCTGTATTCTTCTTTCTTCTGAACACTTTGAAATGTCTCACAGGTTCTAGTTTTCACCTTTTCTTCCACCTTCTGTGTCTCCGTGATGCAGGTGTTGATCCAAGTCCACGCCTGCGGTGTGAACCCTGTGGAAACGTACATCCGCTCTGGATCCTTTGCCCGGAAGCCAGCTTTGCCGTACACACCGGGTTCTGATGTGGCCGGCGTGGTGGAGGCCGTCGGAGAGGAAGTCACCGCAGTGAAGGCAAAACAAACGCTGCGTTGGGCTGATAGGCTCAGATAAACACATTCCCGCAGCGGTTGAGAGTTTTTGTGTTTTCAGGCAGGAGACCGTGTGTTCACCACAGCCACGGAGTCTGGAGGTTACGCAGAGTTTACTGTAGCTGCTGAGAACTGTGTTCACAAGCTGCCTGATGCTCTGGACTTCTCACAGGGAGCAGCCATCGGTGTACCGTACTTCACTGCCTACAGAGCCCTGGTTCACAAGTAAGACCACACCTTTCCAGGAGGGAAACCAGGCGGGTGGGCTTCAGGCTAAAGGCCTGCTGGAGACTGGGCAGCTTTCATACGACAAGAGAAGATCAAATCAAAAAAGTGATTCACTTTTACTTCATGTAAAATAACACATAGTGTTATTCCTTCGTAAATGCACGAGCCAGACTTGCTTCTTCTTATAAATGATTGTCTGTTTAAAGAACTGTAAACCTCTCCTTCCTGTCAGTATCTAACCTGCTGCAAATATCTCAACTTTATTTTGGTAAATTAAAAACTTTACAAAAAAGGAAAACGATATAAAACGGTAAATCAGTCATTTACCAAAAAAGGAATAGTCTGAAGTCGAGGCTTCTACTTGCCTACCCTGTTCATAGACTCAGCAGTCTACATATTGACAGATATCTACTGTCCACATACATACAGAAGTACACATACACACATTTACCATATATTTAAATATGCATGTATATAATACATACATACACGTACATTACATACATACATAGTTACACAATACACATCTACATAACAGTATAGCTTTTAAAATTTTACATTTTAAGACTCTTTTAAAGCTCACTAAAAAAGCACATCGTTTGAGATCATCATTCAGTTCGTTTCACACCGATAACTGAAATACATCTAGATTTTACTTTATAGCTTGTTCAAATATTAACAGACCTCATAAATTATATTTACTCTCTCTTAACTTAAATAATTTCTGAATTCCAGAAGGAAGACTTTTATTCAGTGCTTTATACATTATTTCCAGTGTTTTTATATAAACAATGTCACTAAATTTTAAAGTATTACTTTGAATAAGAAGTTTATTGGTTTGTTCACAATATCCCACTTTATTAATAAGCCTAATTGCTTTTTTGGTAACTTTATTAATATATCAATAGTTGTTTTAGTTGCATTTCCCCATATTTCTGAACAGTATGACAAGTAGGGCATAACAAAGGGAGCGTATATAATATGCAAGCCTTTTACGTTCATCCATCTATTTTCTTCTGTTTATCCGGGGTCGGGTCGTGGGGGTAGCAGCTTAAGTAGGGAGGCCCAGACTTCCCTCTCCCCAGCCACTTGGTCCAGCTCCTCCAGGGGAATCCCGAGGCGTTCCCAGGCCAGCCGAGAAACATAGTCCCTCCAGCGTGTCCTGGGTCTTCCTCCTTTTACGTTTATTAATTCTTTTATTTTAAACATTATTCCAATAGCTTTTGCAATTTTATTTCTAATATATTCAATATGAGGTTTCCAACTAAGTTTGTTATCCAGAATGATACCTAACATTTTGTCTCATAAACTGTCAATTTCGACTCCATTTATATGTAACTTCACATTATTGTAAATCTGATTACCAGAGAATACCATAATTTTTTTATTTATTTAAAGATAGCTTATTATTATCAAACCACTTTTTTAACTCAGCTAGCTCTTTTTCTACTATTTGTATCAGTTCATCCAAATTCTTTCCAGAAAAAAAAGTATTTATCATCAGCAAACATTATAAATTTCAAGATACTGGATACTGTAAAAAATAGAATTTAAATAAAGTATAAATAATTTGGGTCCTAGAACTGAGCCTTGGGGATGACCACATTTTATAATTTTAATTTGTGACTTTGTGTTGTTAATTTGTACATATTGTAACTTATTATTGATGAAGAGCTGGAGCCACCAGAGCCTGAGCACTAGTGGAGCCCCACATGACCTTTAATTACAGATAAATGTGTTAGAAAATTAAATATTTAGTTAAGAACTACTTAATTAACAAGAGCCACCACTATTTAAAAAACAACAACATAATGTAAGGTTTAATTTAATTTAATTTACATAAACAACAATCCTGTTAATTTACATGGAGGAGTTGAGATTTTAATCTGACACTGGAACCAGACGACAGGGAAGGTCCGTCCTGTTCTGACTTGGACCTCCAGGCTCATGCCGGACGTCTCGGTGTACAGTCTGAGTCTAACAGAGTTCAGAGCTGAACGGGACCATCAGAGTTCAGAACCATCACAACTGAGGCTACATCTCAAACCTCAACTGTGCTGAAGTCTCGTTCATTTATTTATCATCTGAGACGTGATTATAAAGGTCAATAAGGCTGAAGGATGCACCTGGTGACATGAGGTGTTCAGTAAGGATAATTGTTCTACCAGAGTTAGTGTAAACTGGAAATCATGAGGCTAGTTAGGTTTTAACCTCTCTGACTTAATCCTTATAAATTATATTTTAAAAAAATCTTAGAAATGATGTTTCGTTGACACGGCTGATGTTTTATAATAAAGACTTTATGAAGATACAGAACTGTGTCAGCTGACAGAGGGATTGTCTGCACATTTACACACATTGCATTTATTTTTATACGCCTTTATGTGCATGAAAACGTCACATGTAACCTTTGTATGTGCATGCGCACAATTTATGAGGCCTCATACAATACAGTACAACTTTATTTATAAAACACTTTAGGCCAAAGTGCTGTACACTAACACAAGCAAGCATAAAAAAACTATAAAATCAACTGAAACCGTAAAAGTAATGAACTGTTAAAATCATAAACCCACAGCACTGGCTCTCCTCAGGGATGTGTGCTGAGCCCCCTCCTGTTTACTCTGCTCACGTATGATTGTGCAGCTACCCATCCAGGCTGTCACATTGTAAAGTTTGCAGATGATACAGTGGTGGTGGGATGCATCACAAACAATGATGAGTCCAGCTACAGGCAAGAGGTGGAACATCTGGAGAGCTGGTGCAAAGAGAATAACCTTCACATCAATGTGAAGAAGACAAAGGAGATGGTTGTGGACTTCAGAAGGAACAAAAACACCTACAACCCCCTGAACATAAGAGGATCTGCAGTGGAAGTGGTCTCCAGCTACAAGTACTTGGGTGTACACATGAATGACAACCTCAGCTGGAGCAACAACACCACCAGTCTGATCAAGAAAGCTCATCAGAGACTCTACTTCCTCAGACGGCTGAGGCGAGCTGGTCTGGGAAGCTCAGTTCTCACCTCCTTCTACAGGTGTGCAGTGGAGAGCATCCTGTGCTCCAGCATCAACGTGTGGCATGGAGGCTGCACAGCTGCAGAAAGAAAAGCTTTGCAGAGAGTGGTGAAGGTTGCACAGAAGACTGTTGGAGTCAGTCTCCACCATCACAGACATCTACACCTCCAGATGCAGGAAGAGGTCCACCTGCATCATGAAGGTCCCCACTCACCCAGCACACACACTTTTTGCCCTGCTCCCCTCAGGCAGGAGGTTGAGGAGCATTAAGTGTAGAACCACTAGACTGAGGAACAGCTTCTACCCTGAGGCTGTTAGACTCATGAATCTCTAACTAGAATAATCACTGTGAAAAATCACATCATGTTGCTGCTGATCTGTTTCATGTTGCTTTGTTCATTCATGCTCATCTGCTCACACAGACTGATGTTGGTGCTGCTGTTCAACGTAATCCATCCATCCATCCATTATCTTTACCCGTTTATTCCATTTTGGGTCACGGGGGGTCGCTGGTGTCCATGTCCAGCAATCACTGTGCGAGGGGCGGGGTACACCCTGGACGGGTCGCAAGTCCATCACAGGGACACATAGAGACAAACGAGACAAACAACCATTCACTCTCTCACTCACACCTAGGGACAATTTAGAGTTACCAATCAGCCTAACATGCATGTTTTTGGTCTGCGGGAGGAAACCGGAGTACCAGGAGAAAACCCACGCATGCACGGAGAGAACATGCAAACTCCACCCAGAAGGCCCATGGACCGGGGTTTGAACCAGGGACCTGCTCGCTGACAGGCAGCAGCTCGACCAGTTGCGCCACCGTGCTGCCCTGTTCAACGTAATGTTTTATGCTATTAGTGCTTAGTGTATTTTTAGTTGACATTTTTCTTAGTTCATATCTTAGATCTTATTACAGTTTTTCTTTTACATTTTATTTTTGATGTAACTGGGACCCTGTGCACATAATTTTGTTCCAGCACATGTACCACATGAGATGCAAATGACAAAAACAGAACCTTAAATCCTTGAATAAAACAATAAAAACAATAAAACAAATAAATTTAAAATATTTCAAGCAAAATTAAAAGCCAAAATTATGCTGATATGAGCCTCATATGTTGAAATATTGTAGGAAGTCATAAACTGAGGTACATTTCATTGTTCTAAGTCAAGCAAGACGATTAACAACAATGAGCTTTACAGAGAAAAAACAAGAAAAATGAGTCAAATTTAAATCGAAGGGAAGAATCCACAACTGATGTCAGAGGAGGAACTCTTTTAGAGTACAGAATCCTTCAAATATGAGCTATACAGTAAAATTTAATTATACACACAAAGACAGGATGTATCAGTCATAACTGAAAGTTTATAAATGATGAGAAAATCCTTAAGCTACTCACGTGCTCCAGCAGTTTTAAAGATAACACTTCCCCCTGGTGGTGAGATAATGACATTTCATTGAAGTCAGCAGTGGGTTTGATTTGTAGCTAATTAAAATTTTAAATGAAATAATTGATACTCTGGTACAATAATTTAAAATGAGAACTCTTCATTGGAGGTTCAGTGGGTAAAATCATTCTTCTTTCATCCTTTTGATTTCATCCACTTCTGTGGAAATAATAAAAATTAATTAGAAAAAATTAAGATCAGATTAGAGTTGCTCTGAGTGAACTATTGGACGTTTCAGCAGGAGAAAGAATGTGGTAGGTAGCTCAGTGGTCGGTGCTGCAGACTTGTAATCCTGAGGTTGCAGGTTAGAGTCCAGGTTGGTCAGGAAGAGCACACTGCATGAAAATAACCTAATTTTTTACTCTCTGTGGCAACTCACACAGAGAGGAGCAGCTGAAAGAAAAACAATAACCAAGAAAAAATATTATTCTAAACTGCTTATATAAAAGACTTTTAATTTATTTAATTTTATTTATTTATTTAAACACTTGCACCGTTTTATATCAAATAGAATAAATAAATAATCTGTGCATTTATTTTATTTTTGGCCTAACCTGTTTCATAGGGTTTGTTCAGTTCATTTCTTTGTCTTTTGTTTATAAATGTGTAATGTATTTGTCTAATGCTTTTTTAGAAAATATTGTTGTTTTTCATCACATTATTTACCATATTATATGTTTGTTAAAAGAATTAATTAAAACTTGTTTAATAGATTTTTCCCCCTTTACATGTGATGATTTGTGCACAATAAACCATGTTATTCTGCCTGTACCGATGTGTTCTTGAGCTTGATGTAAACATTGCGCAGCGTTTGATTTTGTCCTGGGCTGGACTCTGCAGAGCTCGTGTCACCGCTGGAGAGACTGTCCTCGTTCATGGAGCGAGCGGTGGGGTGAGAGCACATTTTACATTTTTATTGAATTGGAACGCACAATATTTAATCTGTCTGTTGTTTCACCAGGGAGCAAAATACCTTAGTGACCAAAAAACACAGAACATTAAACAAAGATAAAACTGTGCAGCTTTAAGGGAGGCGTTTAAAAATAATTCAGCACAGATACTGAACTCATCTGAAAGACAAATCTGCTCGTTTGCTCTTTTGGTAGTAAGCATTGTGTTGCTATAGCTACAAGATGAAAACCAAAAAGGACACTATATAATATTTAATCCAGAATCTCATTATTTAGTCTAATTAATAATTTAGTTGGATAAATTATCTTATCATTTTAAGATGATTAAAGATCATCATCCTCACCTGCTGACTAAAGCTAAAGGTGGATAACAGATTTACAGACGTGTGTCTTTTTAACATATTTTTGTTTCTGGTGTATCTTGTTTGATCAAACTGAACGTTGCTGTTTCTAACCGGCTCAGAGCGTCATCAGGTTCTCCTCCTCCACCTTCAGGTGGGAGTGGCAGCGTGCCAGATATCCCGCGCTCTGGGTCTGAGGGTTTTGGGGACAGCAGGAACACCAGACGGGGCGAAGCTGGCTCTGAGTAACGGAGCTCACCTGGTCTTCAGTCACAGAGAGGAGGGATACACCGACAGAATCATGGTAGACTCACAGGAGGAAACAAACACCTTCAGTCAGTGCTGGACAGAAACATGGACTGTGTTTTCCAGGAGGCCACAGAGGGCCGAGGTGTGGACGTGATCGTGGAGATGCTGTCTAATGTGAACCTGGGCAAAGACCTCCAGATGTTGGCCTATGGAGGACGCGTCGCGGTCAGTAGGACTTTATTCTGAAGATCAGGCTTCAGTTTCCTCTTGTTGGATGTTGTTTCTGTGAACGCTTCAAGTGCTGTTTCACAACAGATTCACAGGTTCCTGCTGTCCTTCCTCCGCAGGTCGTTGGCTCCAGAGGTCCGGTAGAGATCAACCCCAGGGACACCATGATGAAAGAGAGCAGCATCGTAGGGGTGGCCCTTTTCCGTTCAACACCGGTACACAGCTGAGGCGTCACAAAGAGTTCGATTCGTTCCATCGGATGAACTGTGGGATAAAAAGCTCATTTTTCCTGCTCCTCTTCCCCCTCAGGAGGAGAAGAAGGAGTGTGCAGCGCTGCTTCTCTCAGGGATGGAGGCTGGTTGGCTGCGTCCGGTCGTTGGCCCCCATTATCCACTGGACCAGGCTGCGCAGGCTCACCATGACATCATCGAGTGTCCTGGGGCTGCTGGGAAAATTGTCCTGACCATGTAACGGCCTGATCACGAGAGGGGAGTTAATAAATATTAACATGTACAAGAATAAAAGTGAATTGAAAAATAAACCCATTCACATATAAAACATGAAATGACCTTTATTGTCTGACTTTATTTAGTGAAAACGATCTCTGTTGGCTCAGTTTCATTCATCACAAAGTGGAAAAGTTTTAAATCTCGTACATTATTACGTGACGTATCACTTCAGCGTTAGAATAAACTCGTGATAAAATGAATCTGAATGGAAAGGTGGGCTTGGATCAGAAACCGAGGGTTCAAACTCAAAAAGCGTTTTTTTCTTTCTGGTGTTCGTTTAAAAACGTAGTACCTGATCAGATTATTCAGATAAAACGCTAGAAATGTTAGTGAGAACATAGGAAGTTGTAGTTTTACTGTTTTGGTTTTAAATCAAGCTTGAGAAAATTACTACTTTTATTTATTTATTTTTTACTCAGAAGTCATGTCAGCTGTAAAAATCTCAATAAATTCAATAACTTTTTGAACCCTTTATTGATCGTCACATTTGAACTCGTCTGTTCAGGTGTCACAGACGTGACACCTGTTCCTCAGGTGACGGTCGCCTCTACTGAGCATGCTCAGAACGCAGCCGTGTAACCTGAGCTGGACACACTTGCACGCAGGAGATGTTTGGATCTGTAGCAGCCAGGCAGTGATGAAGCTCCGAGTTCTGGATCAGCTAACGGAGCCGTTTGGGTTTTAATTCAAGAGGTGAGCAGTTTGAGGCTTGTTCTGAAATGATTTCTGATCATAACCTGAGTGCTTTGTTAGGAAAACGGGTCGTCAGAAACATTTTTGATGAGGAAAAAATTATTGCAAGTCTAAAAATAATCCCAGTGTTTTGCCTTGAGTTCAGTTTGTTGCAGCAAATTGCACAAATTTCTCATAGTTTGAATTGATCCAAATCCTGATCAAGATGAACATCAGTTATTAAATGCAAAAGGAAGGGAGGTACATTCTGTTTCTTTTTAAAAATGTTTAATATCTTGGGTGTCTATGTATTTTGTATGTTCATATTTTGACATTTAAAAGTCCTTGTTGTGGTGAGTTAATTGGACATGTCCATCAACGCTGAAACATCACAAAAGATTCAATCCCTGAGTAACCTCCAACACTTTGGGACAGACACATGAAACTTCAGGACATTAACGTGTGAACTATGGCTGAGATTTTAAAGGGAAGTTCTGATCATCCTTTCTCTGCTTGCTGTTGTTTTACTCTTAATTTACTCAGTTTATGTTCGAGACAGAGGCGCTACCAAGAAGAGGCCGGGGGAGCTATCCCATTTGTTGGACCCCCACTGGCCCCTCATGGCCAGATAGTTTTATATTTTCTATTTAAATAACTTTCCAACCTCTAATTCTCTGCGTGTTCTGCAGAAATGACAGTATGGTGACAATGATCTCATCTCTCTGAAATATGTTTTCTGCCAAACCTCAGACTGGATATGTCATCATGTTGTCAGCACAAGTTTATTTAGTTTTGTATTTAACCGATTCTTATTGTGTGTGTGTGTGTGGGGGGGGGTCATTGAGGAAATGCCCTTCAGTTCCTCTAGACTTAAATCCAAATGACTTATCAACATCCCGCTCATCCTCTGTCAAAAGTTATATTTCCAACTGTTTAACTCGTACTTTTGCTCTTAACTTTCCGTAAAGTTTTATGAAACTGCGTGAAGTGCAGCAGCATGGTGGCGCAGTTGGTAGAGTCGCTGCCTGTCAGCGAGCAGAGCACCGGTTCTGCATATCTGCATTGGTCCCTGCCAGGAGTCCAACAGATTCTTAAAGCCACTTAGAGAGGTCATGGTCGAGAGCTTCAGATCTTTTTGTAAGATATTCCAGGAAACAGGAGCGGAGTAGGAGAAGGCCCTTTTGTCAAGTTCAGTCCTCACTGAGGGAACACTGCAGGTAATAATGTCCTGAGAGCGCACGCTGTAGCTGCACTCACGCAGAGACATGTAGGAGGAGATGTATGAAGGCAGCAGACCAAGAAGTGATTTAAAGATGAAAATGTACCAGTGAGAGAGTCTGCGTGAAGTTAATGATGTCCAGTTAACCAGTGAATACAGGGTGGGTACGATAATCCCAGCCAGTTATGAATCTTAGTGCACCATGATAGACAGCATCCAACATCTGCAGGGTTCTTGTAGGAGCATTCATGTAAATAATGTCACCATAATCAATGGAGGGAAGGAAAGTCACAGTCAGAAGGTGTTTCCTGGCATTCAGGGTTAGACAGGATCTGTTTCTGAAAAAGAAAACCAGTTTAACTTTCAGTTTCTTTACTAGGTTTTCCACGTGGAGCTTAAAAGAGAGATGCGAGTCGACCAAGATACCCAAGTATTTATAGGAATCAACAAACTCAATAGGGATATCATTTGAGGATAAAATCAGAGGAAGAACTGATCGGACCAACTTCCTGTTAGAAAAAAAAGCATCCCTTTGGTTTTGTCTGTGTTTAGTACAAGTTTGAGACAGAGCTGGATGATGTCAAAAGTGGATTGCAAAAGCTGGAAAGCCTTATCAACTGTTTTAGCTCGACAATAAACAACTGTGTCGTCAGCATTGAAATGTATGGATGTATCAGGGATGCTCTGACCTACATTACCTATGTAGATTGTAAAGAGGGTGGGTCCTAAGGCTGAGCCTTGTGGTACACCATTGTTGACTGGTAAATAACTGGAGGAAGTACCATTATGTTGAACACATTGCCTCCGATCTGAGAGATAGAGAACCAACCAATAGTGTGTTCTGAGAAACCAATTTCTGAGAGCTTATTACAAAAGATGTTATGATCTACAGTGTCAAAAGTTTTAGACAGGTCTAAGAAAAGTGCAGCACACACAGCTTAATGGATGGAGTTAGGTGCATTTTCTTTGATCATCTGTAGATTGTACATTTCATCCAGTGTTAATGACACTTAAAATAAGATGCAAAACATAATTCTATTACACAAAACCATACAGCCCTACTTTAAAGAGACCAAACATGCATCCAGTGTGTGTGTTGTGTTACTGTGGTGAAGTGAAGTCACTCATGTTGCTCTCTGGTTTTCTCTCTGATTCATGGACAGTTCAAAGTGACACGTTTGTCCGTTAAAAAGGACGCCTCAGACATGAACAGGAGCTTCAGCAGAAACACGATAGGCCTTGTTTTGCTTCAACGACTGGCTGTCGGCCATCCGTCAGCGTGCTCCGTGGCTCAGCTCCACTTCCCCTCATGATGTCATTATGCTCATGTTTTGGTGCGTCGCCTTCTCTGTTTATCTGCCAGGCAACAAAACACAACAGAAAGGCTTCCAAACTTTTCCTCAAGTGCACTTGTTCATTTAGAACGAACTGAAATCAAATCACGGAGGGTTACAACAATAAAAAGGCCCAACGAAACATTGCAATAGTTACGTGACCACGTATGAAAAATGCTTTTGTGTGTTTTGTTTCCTGGAACTGAGTGCAGAGATCACTTGTTAGAGTTTTAACAATATGTTTTCAGCTTGACCAAATAGCACTGGGGATCATGATGAAGATGAATCAGGTTACAGCCATGTGGGAGAGATGCTGCCTCATCATCATGTTGCATCCACTGTAACCCAACATGACCAGTGAGTATTATCCACAAAACAACAATCTGTAGTAAAACTACCTGCTGGTAGAATGGTACAGACTTCTGTTCAGCTCATTTTGGGCAAAAAGGTGGATGTTTGTATTGATCTCCAGGTGTTCTGCTGATCTTCCTGCTGCCAGTCGTCGGTGCTCAGCATGTGTCTCCGGTGCCGTCGTGCCCTGCGTCCTGTGTAGTTTGTTCTGAAGATGCAGTCATCTGTCAAAGACTGGCTCACTTTATTGGTAAAAACAAACTACGGTAGTTCTGTTTCTGTCAGTGAGGCAGGCTGACCTGATGAGATACCTGAATTGCAGTGTTAAGACATAGAGCTGATTCAGATCTGTTAAAGTGAGGTTCTAACGAAAGGGTTGAACAGATAATGTCTTACCTGTTGTGCAGTGGTGCTTGCAAGTTTGTGAATACTTCATAATTTTCTACATTTCTGTATAAAAATGACCTAAAACATCATCAGATTTTCACAAACGTCCTACAAGTAGTTAGAGATAACCCAGTGAAACAAATGAGACAAAATATTAAACTTGGTCATTTATTTATTGATGAAAATGATCCAATATTACATATTAATGAGTGGTAAAATTATGTGAATCTCTAGGATTAGCAGTTAATCTGAAGGTGAAATTAGATTCAGGTGTTTTCAATCAATGGGATGATGATCAGGTGTGAGTGGACACCCTGTTTGATTGAACCTCCTGAGACCCTGCGTCCACATGAGGGAGGACATTACATTTTGGTTTTGCTGTACCTTATACTTCACTCTGTTCAAGTGTTTTATACTTTGTTAAGCCATGTTAATGTTGTGTTATGCTGTAAAATAAGCCCATTGTCCCCATCTGAGGACATTTTGTTTTTTACAAAAGTCATAACCATGTAACAAAATACAACTTCCTGTTCGAAGAGGAAGCTTTATTTATACACAAATCAGATCCATCTAATCACAGATATCTAGGAGATATGAAAAATGCATCGCAAACCAGAGCTCGAGTCTCAGGAGGTTCAAGAACAGGATCTATCCAAGTCTGCTCTTTAAAACATGTTGGTGGAAGTGGATCATGGAGGAACAAAGGAGATTTCTGAGGAGCTCAGAGAGAGTTGTTGATGCTCATCAGGCTGGAAAATGTTACAAAACATCTGTAAAGAGTTTGGACTCCACCAATCCACAGTCAGACAGATTGTGTACAAATGGAGGAAAGACCATTGTTACCCTCCCCAGGAGTGGTGGACCAACAAAGATCACTCCAAGAACAAGGTGTGGAATAGACGGGTCACAAACACTCACGGAACACTGCAGGTAATAATGTCCTGAGAGCGCACGCTGTAGCTGCACTCACGCAGAGACATGTAGGAGGAGATGTATGAAGGCAGCAGACCAAGAAGTGATTTAAAGATGAAAATGTACCAGTGAGAGAGTCTGGTACATTTTCATCTTTAAATCACTTCTTGGTCT